ATTCATTATGTATGTTATGATTAAATTCGTAAAAAAAGTGATTATTAAGTATGATGTAGTTAAATGTAAGGCGATGCGTTGTAATATAAATGCTATTAATAATTATCCGGTAGTTACTATTGATCATGTTACCCATATTAATACTATATCACGGTATATCTATAAATTATTCCATGGAGCGGAATTTAATATTTCTTTTTTTGGATATATATCTTTTTTCTTTTTTTAATGTTACCTTAACGATTGTTTTATTCATGTCAAATAGTCTCCAAGTAAAAAAGAAAAAAAAAAAAAAAGAAACAAACCAGAGAAAGAAACCACATAATCGATATAAACTAAACTTTATGAAATAAAACAATTTACATAATTAATATGAGTAATATGATCAATGACCACTCCCGTTATCAGGTAGAAAATGTAGATGACATTCTACCTGATAACTATTACGTAATTACGTATATGGTAAATTTTCCTATCAAGGCACAAAACTCAACTTAGCGCCAAAGCATACCATTATTTGATATCTGGTTAGCGATCATGTTTATGCATGATCGACAATTAATTGAAGCTATAATAGTATCATGATTGTTAAAGCCATGCAAGGTTAGTCCGATAGCATGATGCAATATAGTAGGTTCCGCACTTTCACAATTTTTCTAATATTATAAAATGATGTTAAACCAGCTAACTTTTTTATGATTATATTGTTTGCATGATTAATGTTGTACAGGATCGTCTTAATTCATTTCATGAATTAATAATCAATGCATGAAAATTGAAACGGGAATACTATTCACATCCTCAGTTGTCATCTATGATTTTTTAAACTAACTTTCGTTCGTTATACGCACTTTGTAGATATTAAATTGACAGAGATATGGATAACATTAATAACATGCGTTAGTGAGTCATGAAATGTGTATAGTCAGAATAGTAAGGTTTGCTACAGAATTTTTTACAGTAACTCACAATATAAACCATAATAATACCAATTCAACCACATATTGTGATTATTAGAATAGTGAAAAAAACTTTGTATGAAATTTTTTACAGTGATTTATGATATAAATAAATCACAATAATTTCAATGCAATTCAACATTAATATGTAGAATAGTATTTCTATGAAAGAAATTACGATAATTCCAATACAAGCTAACTCACCTTTTCATCATTACCAGAATAACAAGTTCTGTAACAACAAAATGTTTACAATAACTCATGATAGAAATTGTAATGCAAGCCAACTCAACCACATAAAAAATACAAGACAGCTCCAATGCAACCTACCTCAACTTTAATCAATACTGTGGTTATTAAAATAGCGAGTATTTATAACAGAAATTTTCGCAGTAACTCATGGTAGAAATCACAATAATTCTAATATGATAATTCAATACAAACTAACTCGACCTTAATCACATACTGTAGTCACCAAAATAGTGAGACTTGCAACGGAATTCTTTATGAAAGAAATAATAACTTCAATGCAAATTAACTCAAGCTTAACCACATAAAAATTAATACAATTTTAATGCAACCTCAACCACATCATGGTAGTCAGAATAGCAGGTAAGTGGTACAGAATTTTTTATTTAACTCATAGTAGAAACCATGAAACTTCTAATGCAAATTTACACGACCTTAATCACCTACTGCGGTCACTGGAATAGCAAATAGGTTTTAAAAGGAATTGTTTACTGTAACTCGTAATGAAAATCATGGTAATATTCAATACAAACAATCTCAATTTAACCATTTGTAATTCAAATAGTTATTATGGTATTAATATGTCTTAATTTTATTTTATTTAATTAATAACAAGATATCTATTAATTAAAACATAAAATAACTATTTATACTGAACTTAAATTTAATGTTATTTAACAGGGACGCTGGTGGCGCCCATTATACTCTTGTAATTTTATATAATTAAAATAGCAATTTTATATAATAAATTAACATTTTATTAATATTATAATTTTTTTGCTATATAATATTCTTATTTAAGTTTTTATTGTTACACTAAGTAACTTTTATAATAATGCAAAAAATACTTAAGTTTGATTGATTAATTTTAAAAATACTAAAATATTTTTTATTAATTTTTTTTAAAAAAATTAAATCAAAAATCAATAAAACTTTTTATTGATATTTTTTATAAATGTTCAAATATTATATTATATTTTTTTGATTATTAATTAATTAATATGTAAATTTTAAATTACTTTATTTAATTTAAAGTGTAATAGAATAGTAATGATAAAAAGTCAGGCAATACTAATTTTAAAATCTATAATTAAACTCCGTGGGTCTCATGTATGGGTGTGTGTCTGACATTTGGGTGATCTATTTTATTAGTTTTTTTTCTATTTAAGTACCATGGATCTCCTACATTTTATCAAAGCTTTATCTCATGTAGACCCGAGAATATATATAGAGAGTTTAATATCTGGGAGTTCTAGTATACAGTTTATAGTAGTCCAAATTATGATATATTTACGTTGACTTCTACAATGGTAATATTCTTAATAATAATAGTACTTCTTATGTTGCAAATTAAATATTATCTAAAAAGATAAATAATAATACTTTACAGAATCTTATAATTTGCTAATATATTTAAAATATAGTTAAAATTTAATTTGATTATGTTCTTAATAATATCTGACTTATTATCATATTTTTAACAACTAATGAATTTTTTTTCAAAAAGAAATGCAAAATTAATAATAAATATTTATAAATTGAAATTACAATTAAAATTTAACAAGTTTACTAAATGTACATATGGTGCTTAACACCATAAGTGCTATTTCTCAGAAATATATTAAGTAAACATGATTGAAAACCTCATAAGCACTAAAATCGGGATCTTATATATAATCTATATTATATTATATAAAACTCCTCCTTTATTCTAAAACTGCTAAATTTTATTAATTAAAATATATATGGTGTTTATTAATAGCACCATAGATGCATTTTCTAATTTTTGAAATTCAAAATAGACAAATTATATTTTATTTTTGTAATATTTTAAAAATATAATAAAAATTCTAATTACTTTTATCAAAATTATAAAATGTACCATATATAATTTTTATTAATAAAATTTAGGGTTAGGGTGCAGTTTTAGAATAAAGGAGGAGTTCTATATAATATAATATAATATATATGTGTTATAAGGTTCCGCTTTCAGTTCTCGTTAGGTTTTCAAATTTTTACTTAGAGTACCCGATCCCGTTTACTTAGTACATTTTTGAGGAATGGCACTTATGGTGTTCAGCACCATAGGTGCATTTTAGTAAACTTGGTATTTATAATGTATTTAAGCAAATTTATCTGTTTCTGTAAAGTTTAAATATGTTTATCACATAAAATATATCCACATTTTCTTGAGCATAGCGAATTATTGTTTTTTTTTTCAAGAGTATGTATGTAAGACTTGGTGCTGCAATTCATTTCGACCTCTGCATCCAGTTGCTTGAAGTGCTGCACAAATTGCTTCATAAAAATTTTCAATATTAAATTTGTATTTCTACCTATCTTGCTTAAGTATGTGCAGCTCTTCTATTGTACCAATAAAAAATATTAGCAATCTATTATTTGATTATTGGATTATATTGAAATTCTAGAATTTCTAATAAATTTAAACACTCAAATTCGATCCATCAAAGTTTGCTTATTTTTCCTTTTGTTGATAAAGGTCTCACAAGTCATGAGCTATATCCTTGCAAATTCATAAGCGTTGAAATTATATATAATGTATATACAGTACGCAGCAATAAAAGATCGACAAATATAATGTATAAAAAATAAGGTCGATCGATTTAAATATAATGAATAAAATAGGGTCAGTTAAATAAAACAAACAATAATTCAAGTAGAATTAAAAAAAATAAAAAAATAAATGAAACATGAGTCATTAAAAGACTGCTATAATTTACTAGGAAAATGCGTAGCATTGTATATCCGGAGCAAAAATTGAGCTTAATGTAACATAACAGATAAGATTATCATACTGTGTATTCAACCAATTATATTGCAGAAGTGAACACAGACTTTAAATGATGATCACTTGCTGTTGAAAAACAGTGTCCTCCGCTTCGCTGCGGACAATTATCTTTAATAAGTACATAATTACTATTATCAATAGTTTATTGCATTGAGTCTCGATTAGTGAAAAATAAAAAACGATTTACGTTAATTGTTATAAGTGGAAACAGAATTTGAGAGAATTCAGAATTCTTTAATTAGGATATAATTTTTTAGGTGGAATTTATTATATATAAACTTATACCCTATTCCTATTTTAATTACAGTAAGAAATTCCAAATAAGCTTATATAAATTAATACAGCCTAAACGGAAAGTCTTGTATAAATGAATATAAAACTTAAAAAATAAAGTCACTGATTTATTGAAATAATGCATATAAGTTTTGCTTAATTTTTAAAAAGAATCTTGATAACTAAATTTTTGCATATTGTTATAAAAATCTTACAACATGATTGGTTAACCTTATAAACTGTAAAATTTTAAATTCTTATTTGATTTTTTTTTCTTTAAATGAATACCCTATCTAATTGAATGGCATAGCTTTCTCCTTATATACATATATTTAAATCACCATAAAACTTCGAGAAACTAAAGAAACCTCGTCAGATGCCACCGTATGAGGTGGATTTTCGATTTGTTCGACTAAGTCGTACAAATCATATGTATTGATTAGCACACGATCAGGAATTAAGTCGCCAGTAAGCGACAACGAAAAATTTGATACCTCTTCTTGAATGGGAGGAGGAGGAGTAGGAGGAGAAGGAGGAGGAAGGTTTTGTTTTTTCTTCTTTTTGTTAGGGGTTGGGGTTGGGGTTGGGGTTGGCTCGGGCACATAAGCCCGAAAAATTTTCCGCTTACGTGGAGTGAAAACGTAATCTAAGAAGGGTGTGATGATAAAAAAGTTAGATATAATATATATTATAATTAATGTAAATTACATTTACTTGCCAGGGAACAATTCCCGATGAAGCTCTTTTGCTTCATCACTCAAAGCACTGTAAGTGGCCTTCAGGCGTTTGTCTCCCTGTAGCCATATTAATGAGGCTATCTTACAAATATCTGTCATTGAGCGGCGGATATTTACTTGATGGGCCGCCTAATGAATAATTATCATTATTATAAACATAACTTAGATTAAAATATTTTTTGAAGGAATAAGAGTTTAACATACCAACATTAATGCATTCTTCAGAAGGAAGAATGCATTAGCAGGCCTTGGAATATGGCCATGATTTTGTCTGATACCCATCAGTTGGTTTAAATTAAATGGTGGGTTATAAAGAATCGCCATTATAGTTGGCCCGAAAATTGTCCCGAATTCCCCAATGATGATGTCACAAGGGTTATTATAACTCATTTTAGAGAAAATGAATTAAGTTCACAAGTTTTGACGTTGTCTCTCACTAGATCCAGCACACTCCCGTTAGATATAGTGAAAAAAAGGAGTTACAAAGTCAAAGTTTGTGATTATAAAATTTTTGTTTGAGCTGTCCCAGAGGGAATCAAAAACAAGTTAGGGTTTAAATAGTTTAAGAAAAGGAGGTAAAAAAGAGAAGTTCATTTTTCATGATACTGAAGTGGAACTATTGAATGAGCTAAATGCTTTGAATAAAAAATAGATCGTATATTACATTAAAAAAAAAAGACTTTACAATATACAGTATATGTTTATTTTTAAATACATTATGTAGCTTAATATACATTGTATTGATAAGCCACAAGTATAGGCTTTTTTTTTTATATGATAATATTTCAAGATAATTACGTACAAAGAAAAATGATTGAAAACTGCGCACAAAAGATATTTTTAGAGTTTTAAATAGCTTATTAAATTTATACATCCTTTCAAATGACTTACTCAATGTAGTGTTTTTACACATTGTTGAATTCAAAAAAGAGCAAAGTAAAAATAAGTTAAAATTAAAGGATTCTAGAATCTCTGGAAAAATGATTTATTCATTTACAGTTTACATTAACGAACATGTGTAAACTTTATGTGAGTTATTTTAATTAGTTAGTAATGTAATAAGATTGATAAAAAGATAAAATATAACCGTTTAAAAATTTTAAAATATTTATATTTACATATATATATTTACGTATGTATATATGTTTACTTATACCTATTTCCATTAATACACATGTACAACGAATATCTTACGCTTAAAGCAATCGGAATTTCTCTCCGATCTATTGATTCTATATTTGTTAATATAAAAAGAACGTGCAATATCATTCTACGCATTTTTTACTTAGATATTGGAAGATTATAATCAGAGTGAATTTTGCGAGTTAAATAAAATTTCGGACACTACCATAAATTTGTACCCAATTTTCATTGGCTCCGAACCATATTTATCTGTTTATGTGTAACCAAGAAATAGATAATTAGTGACACAAATAGAGCCAGCTTCACACTCACAAAAACTTGCTGTTTTTGTAATGAAAAAATGAAAGAACATATACGTACGTACGAATTTAGGTATCTTATAAATATCTTTTAATGTTTTTACAACTTTTAAGTGTTATTTTATAACCTTTTAAAGTGATATTTATTTCATGTAATATAATTTCTTGTTTACAAAGAAAGCCGCAATCGAAAGGTTATTCCTTTTATAGAAGGAATTTGATTTTATTACCAACCAGAAATGGTAAATAAGGTCAGATGTTACGGAGTGACATAGTATTATCTCCAATTTGTCACAACGATAGTTTTTTTTTTTGTGGCCAAAAGTAACCATAAAAAAAATTCCGGTTTATTGTTCACCCGGAACAATAGTAGCCCTGAAAATGATCAGAATGTTCTATGAATGTGAAACATGGTTCAATCAATTAGGGCTATATTGACTGTTATATTTGACTGTTATATTTGACTGTTATATTGACTGTTATATTGTACGACAATTTCATCTAAAGAATTGACTCTTCACCTAACGAACATATTATTCCTTCTTTTTGAATAATAAAGAATAATTTATTATATACCAATTATGCATATTTATCTTAGATATATTTTATGCAATATATTAATACGCTTATTTTTTAACATCAAATAGTACATACAATTAACCTTGTATATATGCAATAGGTGCATTATCTAACAATATCCCAATAGGAAGGCATATACTCAATATGTAGTAACTTTAATTAACTAAATTTGTCATTATACAATGTACGTACGTACTGTAACTCATAATAAATAAATACATAAGAATCTTCATTATACAGTAATCGAACTTCTTTGATTGTAATTTTTTATACGACTATTAATAAGGTGCAAGTGCGGAAAAACTGGAAAATCTATCTTTGTAATACATTTTCATGGTTAAATAAATAGCTAGTTGGTAAATATAGTTAAATGAAATGGATTTTAAAGTAATGAGTTGCGCAAACGGACAAAAAATATATTAAATATTCCTGAGTTAAGTTCTCGGAATTACGGAATTTGATCATTATCTACTATTTATAATTATAATTATCATAAAATAAACAAATACTTTATCGATGGAAAACGTATTCCGACAGTTTGTATTCTCTTTCATATTATGCTTGCCTATTTTTTTTAAGATTGCTTGTTAAACGAGGGACAACGATTAGACAGGTGGTGATTATTAATGCATGTGTTCACATGACACAAGCAACTTACAGACACAAGCAATTTACAGACACAAACAATTTACACGACATGTGTATACTCGACTTATTTTTTTAACCAATGTACAAATTACTTTGTTTAAAAAAAAAACCATTTTCCCCCCTATTACTGTATTAATTTAATATTCATTCTATCGATTCCATTAACGTTAATATCATATCAGAAATTCCACTAAATTCATAAATTTGATTACTTAATAATCGTTTCTCCCAATCCATTATTATTATTATAACTATTATTATTATAATGGAATTGGATGAATAGTTAAAAATAAACACTCAAATTCAAATATTTTCTAATAACATTATATTTATTTTTATCATAAATATTTATAAAATTTTCTTAGTCTTTGTTTATTTACTTCTTATTTTCTCTTTTAAAGATTACACTTATGGTCTTTTGAAAGCTTAAGTTATATATTTCTTGTATATAATATATTACGTATGCATATAAATTTGTAATAAATTTATATTCATGTATATGTTCAATTTTTTTATATGCCTTATGTGTGTATTCAATTTTAATTTACCTTCATAAAATTTTTATTTATATTCATATATACATAATATTCGATTTTATTACGTATGTGTAATATACTCGCGTATGTGTTCGATTTATTATTTTAATATTCGAAAAGTTTGTTTCCATCGATAATTTTCTAGATCGCCAATTTTGTTTCGTAAATGAATTATATCTGAACTATTTTTTTTTATTCTAATCATAGTTAACAAAATTCGAAAACGTAAACTCGTTCACACTAAATTCATTATTTGGGATAATAATTCCAAACGTATTAAACACGTCATTGGATCCAAAAATTTCATCATTTAAAGAAATATTTTGAGAAAATTGGTTAAATTCTGGTGATGATGAAATGTTAAATTCTTGTGATACTGATGGGTCAAATCGCGAAGCATCCAAGTAATTTTGTTGATATACTTCAGTTTGGTTACGTTGTTCATTTTGGCGATACTTGTCGATTGAAACGATTTCTGATTCTTGTAAAGGTTGTAATGGTTGTAAAGGTAAGAAATTTTCAAATGATTGGCTAGTATTAATAAATTCATTGCTGAAATTGGTATTGAAATTGGTATTGAAATCATTGTTGAAATCATTATAGAATTCGTTATTGAAATCGTTATTGAAATCATTGTTGAAATCATTATAGAATTCGTTATTGAAATCGTTATTGAAATCGTTATTGAAATCGTTATAGGTTTCGTTATTGAACTCAATTTGTTCGTTAAAGCCAAACGATGTAAAGTTTAATGGTGTATTGCCATGAATAGAAGGGTTTGGACTAGGATATACATTTTGAATCATTCCTTCTTCTACTTGAAAAAGTTGATCGGTAATTGGTGACGAAGTAGCTGTAGATACGTTAGAAGACAGTTCTGGTGTGGCATATTCTCTAAAATCAATTACATCTTCGAGATCTTTTTGAAATTGTAATGTTCTGTCTTCTTTCTTAGCTGTGTTTTGAGCTTCGAGGTTAGTAGGAACATGGAATGAGATAACATTCCACCCTGTTTTTTTTTTTTTACGCTTAATAGCTTTTGGAAACTTTTCGTTTCTATACTTAAATGCTTCTTTCGCAAGTTGTTTATAATATTCTTGAACTTCTAATGGTTCCTTTTCCCATGATTTAGACGCGAGTGATGAAACAACTGTCATTGGCAAATAGTAACCTTCATTTCTCGCTGTTTCTGAGTATACTTTTCTGTAAATTATAAATGCATTCGGACATCTTGGAGTTTTATCTCTTTTAGGTCTAGAATCAATCAGATCTTTCACATCGATCACAGGTGGGAATGGAATCTTGATTTTTAAAGAACCGGATTCCTCGATGAAATGGCGAGTACTAATTAACCCTTGATCTTGCTTGCCCATTTTTTTTTTTTTGATTTTTTTTTTTGGGCTTTTTTGTTCCGATTGCAATCTGATCTATCTTCATCTTGCTGGCATTAAATAATTTTTTTTTTTTATCATTAATTTTATTGATTTGTAATATTGACTTATTCTTTCGTTTCTACATATTAGTAGATATTGGGGGTATTTACCCGCGCGCGAATATGTATTTTTGTATTTGTAATCTTGAAATTTTATTTAATACACCCAAAAATGACTAAAAAAAACTAGCACATGGTTTAACATTATCATGACAGCTATTTTTAAAAAATATAATTACAAGTTTACTAAAAAACGATGGATGTTTCACAAATAATTTTTGAGGAACAATAAACATCTCAAATTCAATAAAGCCACAAAGTTACAAATTTAGGTTTAATTAAACGATTCTTGCAATTTTTACTTTTAAAAGTAACAAAGACCAACCAAATTTATCCACATTATGACAGCATATTGCTGTAATCGTTGTTCTTATAATCGTACGTAACGGGCCCTTAATTTTCACTTCCAATATCTAACAACTAATTCATGCATCTATATGCTATATATTTTCTATAAAAAATTTTATAGTTAATTTTTTTCGCCAGTTTTAACTTTAAGCAAACATTTAAACCATGCTCATCATCTCCATAAAACGTTATTTGACCAGTTTAACGCATTTTTATTAACTTGATTTGTAAAAAATATTAATATAGATTTTAATTCAATTTAATATTTATGCATAGTAAGTTTGAAAAAAGAATTTTTGAAAAAAAAACTTTTTAACTTTTGGCGTACGTAAAGTAATTGTTAATTATTTTAGGAATATGTAACTCTAAAAAGTAAATGAGAAACCTATATCCAATATTTTTTTGATTATGCTATTTTAGGATAAATTCTTTGTACTTTTATAATTTTATGCTTTCGTGATATCCTTACTAAACCATTGATTGTGTACGTACGTGGGTCTAGAATAAATTTTTTTTTGTTATGGAATTAACATTTATGGTAAGTAATTGTGAAGGTGAACGAAAGAAATTATTCATGTTTAGCTTAGTAATGCAAATTTAATGTGCAAAAATACGTATATACGTATATATGTAATGATTAAATGATTATTTATAATTAAGAAATGTAAAAGGAGTAAATATAACAAGTTAGAAGACTAATTAGTTCTTTATACAATAAAAAGCAAAATTTCTTTTTGAGTAAGATGTTCACCTTATATCGTCATATTGATTAATCTCGCGATATTATTGACTTGGGTAAACCGTATACTAATAATAGGCAATTAATTGATCCATATTTTTCTCGGTTTTTGGGATACATCGTACATCGTTGTTTCAAGAATGGATTGGAAAAAATGATAAAGAAGAGTTTCTATTTGATTATTAGAGTTATGGGACGAAATGACTAAAAATAGCATCACATGTCAGATATAATGGAGTCATGGGCAAAAAAATGTCGACTAATGAAATAAAAGTTGTCATTGTCAAAGCCATTAAAGGCAACGACGAACAAGCAGAAATAGAAGACGATTTTAAGAGATTCTGAATGAGATAAAAGAAATTCTATCAACTGCCTAAATTAGGGCTAGTGTTGCCGGCTAATTAGATGATATCTGAGACAAGCTGACGTTCGATACACAACATATACATGCATATGTAGTTGTGGGTGCGGTTGATCAAGACGGTCAAATATACGGTTTGAAAGAGCCATGTCGTAGTAAAGTCAAGCTATTAAGTTACGTGGTGTGAGGATACAGCAAGGATAGTTAAAAAAAATAGAAAAGAGATGATTAAAATAGCAAAAGATAATAAAGAAACAATAAGCAAACTGGTCCATAAAATACTTAATCAATGGTTTACATATTGAGAATAAAATTCGGTGAATAGAGCTTGGATTCGGTGGATAACGGTTATCCTTTAGTCTATTTCAAACTTAACGAATTTTTATTATAAGAATCATTATAAAAAAAGCTAGTCGCAATCAGAATATGTATTTTATTAATATCATCAATGCTTATACATAGTAATATAATGCTAATAAATAGGGAAAATATTATTATTTGAGCAACTCCGAGAAATTTCGCTTGAGGTTTCGCTAGATAAATAATCTTTACTATCCATTATTACGATAATGAATAAGTTATGTAAAAAATTTTGTGCACAAGGTAAAATACGTTTTTATAAGAAAGGATTCTCTATTCAAGCGCTACGTACAAAAATATGTTATTTATTCACGCCATAATTTTAATGCATCATTATTAATCGAAGCGCCAGATAGTTTAATAGATATCCAAAAAATATATATATCATTTTATTCACGCCAATATTAATGCATCATTATTAATTGAAATATCAGATAGTTTAATAGATATCCGACTATCTGCAAATATATTTTTGTTATCCGATATCTAATAGAAAATCCAAGCACTACCTGTGAACAATGAGATGGAAAGTGAACTAGGGGTGTTTATGAGTAATTAATCGAAAATACGAATGGTCATTAGTATTGAAAACTGTGACAAATGCGAAAACAACAAATATGAAAATTATGAACACGAAATGCTTTGTATGGACAATGTAGGGAATAGAGAATCTAAATAAACAATTGGATAGAATTAGTGGTGATATTAAAACAATGCAATGTAATGAACGATATCTACGTATAATTAATTGTAGTGAACAATATCTGTTCAAGAAAGAATATAAATGTGACAATAATAATCGTACAATTGTATAATATTAATGATTGTTATCTAATGGGATTGGAGTGAGTTTATTCACTACCAAAAATCTGTGATAAAAATAAAAGTATGTGTTCAATTGTTATCAAAAATTGGAGAAATGCGACATATCAAATAGAACTAGACACTGCTGTCATTAAGTAGAAGTTGAGTAGGACAAAAATCAAAAATTCAATGCCTATCAAGATTCACATTCACAGACACTGTCACGAGTATACATGCCGTAGAAATTAGTTTCGGCTGTGCCGAAAGTATTTAGGCACCGATTTTTCGGCAAAAATAAAGCCGCAAGTTATAATTTATGCCGCAATCCGAAATAAAAGCCGAAATCCAGTTATTATACTTCGCATATTTTTTGCATCCGACGTATTCAAATCATGAATTTCATGATAGAATATTATATAAATTTATCATTATATACATATATGTACAGCAATAAAAAAGCAATTTATATTTATTATTACGAAATACATTCACTTATTTAGCAATGAATAAATCACTAAGTTATCCACCAAAGCGACAATTTAATAATGCTTAGATCCCTGTTATCCACCAAAGCTTCAATTTAACAATGCTTAATAAACATCTAAGTTATCCACCAAAGCATCAACATCGAATTCCATATTACCATGATCTTCGTCAAATTTGGTTTCAACAAATTTAGAATTATTGCCGTCTGGAGGCTGTACTATGAATTCGATGAATTTAAATCCATTGTACTGTATTACAATTTATCTTCGATTGAAGTTGTATCGTTTCTAATTTCCTCATCTAATATAAAAAGTTTCTCCGTTTCATCTATAATAGTTACATCATTTTCGTCCTCATCTTTCAATTCCATAGATATTGTTGCATTTAAAACTTTTTGTCGCTATTCATCTAATTCTAAATCTAATATCGCATGTGTAAGTTTGGTATCAGCATTTGAAATATAATAGGAATGTGTCTTTGCCACATCCTCAAGTGTTGTAATTTTTACCCGATTTCTATTAAATTATAATATGATAAAAATAAATATAGATAAATTATTTATATTTCCACACATCTTTAAGTGGTCGTCCAGCTGTATTTTTAGATGACATGTTCGCAAATTTTTAATAAAATGAAGAAAAAAATAATAAAGATTTATAAAATCGAATTATTTTAGTATTTGAATAAAATATACTTTTTTTGTTTTTATTACATCACTTAAAATCACTATATCAACTGATGATATATCAATTATACTTCATACTTTATTACTTTTGGCATTATATTAATTATACTTTATTTTCCAGCACTATATCAATTGTACTTTATTACTTTCGGCACTTATGAATGATTTTAGGCATTGGTCATAAATTGCGGCATGAATTTTAGATTTAGGCATTGCCGCATGTCAAAATTCAGGTAAATATTATGCCGCAATAATTTCTACGGCATGTATAGTCACGAGTGACATCAAGGATAGTATCATACTGAATAGATAAACTAATTTTAGAATTTATCTTTGTAAACAAAATAACATAAGCATAGTCGAGGATAAAGCTATAATATTTGTATGGTACGTATTTGCAACCATTCAGAAAGTGACGATAAAAGGTAGTGGAAAGATATTATCAAATTTAGCAGATAATAATTACAAATAGTTTTGAACTTGCAACCGGAATGGCATTATAACCAAAGCGAATTAGAGATAAAAATGATGTTGTTAGAAATCAAAGGTCTGCTAAAACGGATTATCGTGATAGAGCATATTACCTTGGATGAAATTGAATAAGAAATTATCTATTTATTATCAATGGCCCGTTGGTTGTACTTAGAGTTGCAGGTGAAACTAATCTTCAATGGTGCACCAGGTGAAGCTGGTGAAACTGGTGCACCGATGATGAAATCAGAGTTATAGATGAAACTAATCTTCAATGGTGCGCCAGTTTTTTCGGTGAAATTAGTTGTGCTGCCAATATGTTTAGTCTTGAACTTTATTGTGTTGAAAGAAATTTAAGCAAAGATCTGAAAATTGTTGATATGGGTAATGTTAGTGGAGCGTTTGCTTGTTATTCGAATAGAAATGAATCGAAATAAAGCATTTATTATACATTAAAAATTTTGTTTACTGAAGCAATATTAACAATAAAGAAAGGTATTATTTGAATATTATCATCTAAATAAAAGTTCTGGTCGAAAATATTCAAGATAAATATGACACACATAAATGGTATTGTATAATAGCTTACTTGAAGACGAACTATTCGCTCCTGAAATTATCGATGAATTATAAAATATGTAAGCAAATAAGGAATGTTAATAACGATAATGGAGCAAAGAAAAATTGAAAATTATAACTTGACTGATCTAAATAAATTCTGCAGTAGCATGTGGATGAAAGGTATGAGATCTTCAAAGAGTAATTTATGCATAGGTAAGTGGAAGAAAAATGTTGTCTGCAATAGGAAATTTATATCTGATGTATTGAAAATGACTACAATGAATTATAATAATAGAGTCTCAGTAGACTTTCAGTTTGAATTAGATCAATTATCATGTTTAGTTTCAATAATCATATCAAATGGCACGTCTGAAATCTGTGACAGGTTATGCCGATCACCGAATCAAAGAACATTAAGCACAGATTTTAATTTACTTTATAAGTAGCTGCGCAACGCAGTTGCGCGAAACCAGGAACGGGGAAGTAGAAATTAGAATGTTATATAACATGAAGAGATGTTTTTAAGGTCATTTTAATCTTTAGGTCGTATATGCATAGATTAATTAATGATTCAAGAGTTATAATTAAGTGAAATGTATATGTGTTCAGTGTTAATTTGCAATATTGAAATACGTTAGTTATAAATTGAAAGATAATGGATGTTATTGTTTTTAAGAGATTAATTGTTTTTTTAAAGAGTTTATAATTTAATAAGATCAGTTGACAAATATATATCACAATAAGACTAAATATTGACATGTATACTTGTCATACTTGTAAGTTGTAAAATTCAATCCTATTTTTTGGCACAATCCATTTTTGCTTAAAAGAAGCCTTTATCCATTCCTGATTATTTTTCGACGAAAATTCGGGTTTAAAAAATTGTATAAAATTTCAATTCCTATTCTTTGGCAAGAGCTAATTATTTTTCGATGAAATTTGTTTTAAATAAATTGTGTAAAATTTCAATTACTATTCTATGACAAGATCTGTTTTCGTTCAAACAAAACTTCTATTCATTTAAATTATTTTCGTTTCTTGTCGAAGACGAAAAATTCGTTTATAAAAAATTAAACTAAATTTCGTTGGCAAGATACATTATCGTTCAAACGAAAGCATTTATTTATTTCTAATTATTTTTCGTTCTAGTCGAAGACGAAAAATATATAAACAAATATAAACATATAAAATTTTTTACTTGGATTTCGTTTATAATAATTCTTCATACATCTCGACAAATATTAATAATGCCTTGGTAATTTGGAATCCTAACCCAAGATTCATTTTTATCATATTTAACTTTTTTAATAGTGGCACCTGTTCGAGTAATATATTTGTTGTTAAGGTTGTTTATTGGTTGACATGAACAGTTTTTTCCATAAATTTTCGTACAAACTTAAGCACACCAAACATTTTTGATAAGCATTCGACAGGACCGGGAAAACTCTATAATAGGTCCCCGCCCCAAAAAATTTATTTATTATGTTTTGCGAATCAGGCTTTTTTTTATAATTACTGTAAGCGAATAGTTTTGCGGGGACCTTAAAAATTTTAATAATAAAGCGAATCATTTTAGTCGAGCACCTTGACTTGATATAAACCCATCCGGGTTTTTTTGGAGCTTTGCTTCGATTATTTTCCCGACCTTGCTCGTATTTTACGTTCGTTTATTTTCTAAATGATCATTATATGATACAAAAATAGCTTATTTTATTATACGGATCATGCCGAATCAATTACTTAACCGAACGGCTGAAAATCATCCAGTAAATTTTTTATCAGATGTTTCAGAAGTTATGATAATAACAGTAATAAAATTTAAAAAATCTATTGTAAAGGGTGTATACTTATATGTAAGGGTAATATAAACTCAAAAAAGGAAGATAATAACACAGAAAACATAAATGTTTATTCCGAATTACTTCATATTTTACTGACAATTATTCATCGACAAGCCATTTTACAGATAATCTATTTCACTGAAGCTCATCTCACCAATAAGTTTTTTTTTTATAAACTACATTAGCTTTACTCTAATTCTAGCCTGACTTAATGATAATGACTAGGATTACTTTGTCTGTAAAATGAGCTTCGGTGAAATAAACTGTCTGTGATATGAACTTGTTAGTGAAATGTGGTGTCTACGATTGTCGGTAAGTTGATCGGATCTCTCTCTATAAAGTATTTATTGTATGTTGTCACCATCGGTTGGGAAAGCAATTGCGGATATTAATCCAATTTAGCTCTGATACTTTAGGATATGTTTAGATCTTTGCAACATATTACAGGATTTAATCACTATCTAGTGACATATATATAATTGTGTTGGTTGCATTCGAATTATCGTGTTTTCTATTATGAGTTTCTGTAAATTTTCTTCCAAAACTTATTCACCATCTTCCAATACATGGAATACATTAAGGCCAAGTTAGTTTATATTGGAATTTTCTACTGTGAGTTACTTACTGTGAAGTATTCTATTACAGAATTTACTAATGTAGTACATAGCGATTAGATTAGAATTGAGTTAGTTTGTATTGAAATTATCATGACTTTCACCACAAGTTGTAGTAAATTAACATGTTATATATAACTTACTTACTATTCTAGTGATTGCATCAAATGGTCAAAGTCGAGCGATTTATACCCTTACTCGCTAATGCGATATATATATTGTTCAAAGTTATGGTTAAAATTGAGTTTGCATTAAAATTATTGTAAATGATTAAGGTCAAGCTACTTTACATTGGAGTTATTATGATTTCTATGTGATTAAGGTTGAGTTAGTTTGCATCAGAGAATTTACGGTAGTTGTATTTAATTTATTTAACTTATTTTAATAATTCTTCACGGAACTTACTTGCTATTCCAGTGACCAAGTATTTGGTTATGGTCGAGTTTAGTGTTGCTAGCGAAATCCATTTCCAAAATCCAAAAGGTGAAACTGAAATGCTCCCAAAGGCGAAATAAAACTGAATTTTCTGAAATTTCCGAAATGTTCAAAGCTTCCGAAACCTGGCGAAACCTGCCAAAACATTTTCGATAAAAAGTTTGTCACATCTCTTCTTTTCATATTAACCATAGCTGCCGCAACAAATTTGGACTGGCAGATCCTCGATTTTGATTGGCTAAGAGCGACGATAAAAAGATTAGGCCGGAATTACTCATAATTTTACTAATAAAATCATAGCCGCCCATTAAATGAAAATTGTTCCTGGGCCAATTTTACCATAATGCGGGCTTATTTTTTAAGAATTTCTATTTTTGTAATAAAAAAATTAAAAAGTTAATTCCGGCCGGAAATTAGTAACCAATTTTGTAATGTGGGCCAAATTTTCGAAGATCCTCGGCCGTTAGCCAATCAAAATCGAGGATCTGCCGGTCTGCGGCAGCTATGGTTAATTTTTATTGGCTAAAAAAATACGTGAAGTTACACGAAACCTATGTATGCCTCATAGTTTTTTTTTAATTTTCCGGGTTGGCTAAAAATCTTATCGTTATGCTTATTGTAAGCTCCTAAAATGGGAGACTTGTAATATTTTATATTGTTTGAAATGTGTGTTTGCCCCAAATTCTCTAATCATCGACGTCGATTATTGGCGAGCTTTGGGGCCTCTAAATAGGAAATTTGTATAATATGTGAGTCATTATATACTCGTTTTTAGGAGAAGTTATAGGAAGATTTTCGTATGATTAATATTATTTTGAATTGAATTTTACATTATTATACAGTTTAAAATAGTTTTTCAAAAACAAGAATTGTATAGGAAATTTTATTGGAGTTGTATGACTCTATTATTAAAAGTATTGTTACGAGAGCGTTACGCAAGGTTGTTAATAGACAATGTCTAATGAAAAAAGCCATTAGGCTTAATATGTCTAATTGATCTAATCAGTCACAATTTAACAACCTTGCAACTTCCGGTCATGTCATTCAAGGTAGCATAAAGAACTCATACGTGGGATTCCCAAAATTCTGTAGCGGAATATGTCGAAATACGTCGGGAGATGGTCGGCCATGAAAATCCTTTTAAATTTTAGAGGTTTTTTTAAAACTTCAACCAATATTTCTCGATGAATGCTTAACTAATTTCAGCAAATTTTTTTTATTTTAAATCTATAATTTAATAGAATTAAAATAATTTTTTTTATCGAGTTTAGCTAGATAGTCATTGAGAAAACTTCGCTTAAAATTTGAAAAAAGGTTAAAAATCTTTGAAAAAATCAAAAAGGCGTAGTAAAATTTCTTTTTTTCAACTTTAAGCAAAGATTTTTCAGGGATTGTCTAACCAAATTTGATGAAATGTTTTTTTTTATTTTAATCCTACGTGTTTGTAGAATCGAAATAAAAGTAAATTTATCGAATTTTATTATGTAGTCACTGAGAAATATTTATTTATTGTTTAAAAAAATTCGTCACAACTTCTTTTTTATAGGCACTAAAACCTTCAGCGGCAGAATCGTGAACAAAAGAAGTAAAAACGAGAATAATTTATCATCACGGTTAAAATAAAATAGTAAATTTTATTTTTAAATCGGAACTTAGCATATTATCATAACAGATAATATTCAAGAATAATCCTTTGATTACGCAGCGCTCAATTTAAAAAGTATTTTAGGCTCATGCATGTGTAAATAGAAAAAGTGCTTCATATTACAAGTATATAAATTCAATAACTAAGTCATGAAGATGGATTATCTAATCAGATGCAAAGAGATACATCACTTCACTCGCCGGTAAACCATACTCTACGTACTTCGTACTCCGTTCCTGGTAAATACTTTAAAATGACTTGGATATTTAATTATATCAGCCAATCAGTCGAATATCTTCTATAAAATTTTATTGTGTGTCGTTTTTGTTTTTTGAAAGACTTTAAACAATATAAATGAGGTACGCTGTATACTAATCGGTATAACTTTACCGAGCGATAATAAATTGCACGAAAAATTTTATTTAATACTATTGTAACCATCGTAAGGGAGAGCTTGGTACCTTCATGCCAAGTTTAACTCCGATGGTTGACGTTAAGAGGGTCACATAATAAATTAGATATTCGGATATTCATGAT